TAATCTATGTGGTCTTTTATTACCTTTTTTGGGGTTCAGCGATTTACTCACCCATGCAGTCCCTTCTTTCCTTCTGTCCTCCATGGCACCGGCATCTCTACTGTGGGCACCAGGCTGTGACATCTTGTGGCTTCACAGCCTGGTGCCCACTTTGTATGCGAGAGTCGCGCTGTGCCTACTGATTGGTCCGGCAGTCTTGTGGGACCTGTGAAAGTTATCAGGAGACTGCTGGAGCAAGGAGAGGGCTGTACTTCTGGGTCACTTCGCTGTGGTGAACTAAGAGACTGTGGTGAACTAAGAGAACTAAGTGGTGAACTAAGCTAGAAGTGGGAGTAGGTACCTGTCAAAACCAGGTACCCACTCCCCCCAAAAGGTGTCAAATTTGAAAGTGAAAGGGGGGAAGCAAATAAGTGGAGCTTCCGATTTTGAGTGGAACTCCGCTTTAAGGACCTGTGGGTGTATGTTATCTGATCCATTTGCTTTATTCACCTTTTTCAGTCTAAATATTTCGGGACCATATCAATTTTGAGCCATAGTGGTTCATTTGGGGATATGTCAGTGTCATCCCTGTTATGGACTGGAGCTCCACTATGCTCCTTTGTATACACAGAGCTGAAGAAGGTATTTAATAAATTTGCCTTCTTTTTGTCCCCAGTCACCCACTCTAGATTATTTTGTAAAGTGCCTACATGCTCAGACCTGACCTTTTTACTATTAATATATTTGAAGACTTTTTGAGGGTTTGTCCTACTTTCCTTGCAATCTGTCGCTCGTTTTAATATTTTGTTCTGTTATATTCTTTGTAATGTTTAAAAAAATATAAAAATGAAGGAACACTATCATCATTTAAACGTTTCCTCATTTTTTATCATTTTTTTTTTACTTTGGCAATGAGTCACATAGGTTTTATTTTAGCTTTTTAAATGTGTTGCCCATGGAAATATATTTTGCAGTGTGTTCACATAAAGTGGTTTTGTAAAGAATTCCCATTTATTTTCTGTGTTCTTTGATGCCAATATTGCCTCTCAGTCTAAGTCTTAAACACCCCTCTGCATTGTAAAATGTGCTCCCTCAAAGTTAATTGTTTTTATCTTTCTAGTATGTGTTTGTTTTTTACAGCTTAAATTTAATGAAATCATGTTGTGGTCACTGCTACCCAGATGTTCTTTTATATGAACATTAATGATAAGCTCAGCATGGTTTGAGATTACCAGGTCCAGCAGGACATCATGTCTAGTTAAGGCTTCTATGACTGCACCATTTGTCTTATAATAGATTTATAAATGTTTGCTCTTTAACTGTTCCTGCAGTGCCATTGCTCCTGTCAATTTCAGGGTAGGTAAAACCCTCCAATTTTTTTTAGTTAGGTCCACAGTATACAGAGGACCCTTGACACGGGACTGTGGGTTACCCATGTATTTGCAAATGTGTGTAAACAAAATCCTTTGTTTTTAATGCAAACTGTTAGACAGGGCCTAATTGGTTGTTTTTCAGGCTGGCTGGTAAGTGTTGCTGGGAAATATTTTGTTTGTGTGTGATGTGCCTTGCTCTTCCATGTGAACCTTACTGCTAAGGCTGGTTATAGGTTGGGACGGTTGCCATTTTTTTGTGTAAAATCCTCCATTATTATCACTGTCCCAGCCCTTGCAGCCCTTTCTATCTGTGCAAGAAGCTGAGCCTCCACCTCCTTATTAACACTGGGTGGCCTGTAAAAAAACTCCAAATATCAACTTTGAACAATGCACACCCATATACAGCTCCATCCATAATGCTTTGGCCTCATCACATTCTCCATCAATTAGGTTAAAAGTGGAGAACAAGGCTTAGCTGTGTAATGCATAAAATCAGAAAATATCAGCTTCTAGCTGAAAGGTGTTAAGCTTAATGACAGTTCTTTTTATTATTTTATATAATCCAAATGCAACGTAACATTACCTGGTAAATTCCAGCCATAAAGGTTAAAGATGTGGCCACCATAATGGCATAGCAGCCTCTCCCGCATACAGTTCCATCAGTCAATGTTGAGTTGAATCTGGTATCATCTTCTGTAAAACCTGCAGCTTTTAACTGCTTGTTCACAGACTCTCCTACCATGAGACACAACACTCCAAATGTTCCAACACAGTTATGGCGAGAGGATGCCATGAAGAAATAGATTAGGCAGCAGAAGAAGTTGGTGTAAAGGCCATAGATAGGGTCCTGGCTTGCTAAGAGGGAATACGCTATTGCCTGAGGAATAGTCACAATACCAACTATGATTCCAGATACAATGTCTCCCAGCAGATACTCTCTAACCTTGTAGTGAGGAAGCCATGTTAGCACTGGGAATAGTCCAAAACAAAACCTGCCCAAGTTTCCTGGACTACTTATGCAACATTCTTTGGTTGTCTCGCAAATGACATCTTTTAGCTTGAATGGTGGCTTGATTTGTTCTTCAAGTTCCACGGAAATGTAGGGTAGAGAAGGTGAGTGCTCTCTCCGGTCTGAGAACTCCTTCTTTATGGAATCTTCAGAATCCACAAACTGCTGATTACATTGGAAATAATTTAAAGTGTGAAAAAGGTTAAAAAATATGGAAAGATGTCAGTAATTTAAACTGCATCTAAACTCTAAATGGATGATACTAAGCTCTGTAAAGTACTATGTATCATAAACAATAGCATGCTTTTTTGTTTAAAAAATTAAATTTTTATCTTATTTTTCTCCCATTTTCCATCTCAGTGATGCTGATATCGGGGCTGCTCTGTACAAAAGCGCTGCACAGAGTAGGTCAATATAACATGTTTGTTATTTAGAAAAAACTAAAACAAACCTTTAATTTAAATTAATTCAATTTGCTTTAATTTGAGTTCTGAAATCCCCTGCAGAATTAGCATGCTATAGAGTAAGCATCGGGGCAGCAGGAGCGTACGTCCTTCTGCTGTCTCTCTACATTCCTGAAGTCAAGGATGGATTTCTCACTAGGCCACATAGACCATGACCTAGTGCACCAAGGCCATCAGGGCCAGCACAAAGGCTCCCAGGACACATTACATTTATGTTGACTAATTCTACTCAAAGAGTCTATTAGACAAGTCTCAACCCTCCATTGCCTTTTGGACACTTGTATATACAGTACATATCCAACTTTCTAACCTGCTGGTGACCCAACCCCATCTCCAGTATTTTTTGGTCTCTGCTAACTTATTTTTGGATGTGTCAGTATAAAACTGATCATGTCTTTGCATGCAAGTTTCTGATTTTAACAGTATGGTACTAACTTTATCTATGTGATTTCTGGTTTTCCTGGTATGGTACTAAATGTGTTTCTGTGGGCATGTTTACCTATTTAATTTAATGTATTATTTCTTAAGTGTTTTATTGTTCTGTTATTTTACTTTTCATTTAAGTAATGTTTAACTCACTGTGTGCATAATTATTATTTCATATTTTTTTTCATCCTCCAGGATGGCACATCAATACGTGTCATTGCCAGAAGGTTTGCTGTGTCTCCCAGCATAGTCTCAAGAGCATGGAGGAGATTTCAGGAGACAGGGAGTTACTCTAGGAGAGTTGGACGGACACGTAGAAGGTCCTTAATCTATCAGCAGGCCAGGTATTTGCTCCTTTGTGCAAGGAGGAACAGGATGAGCACCGCCAGAGCCCTACAAAATTACCTCCAGCAGGCCACTGGTGTGAATGTCTCTGACCAAACATTCAGAAACAGACTTCATAAGGGTGGCCTAAGGGCCTGACGTCCTCTAGTGGGCCCTGTGCTCACTGCCTGGCACCACAGAGCTGGATTGACATTTGCCACTGAACATCAGAATTGGCAGGTTCACCACTGGCGTCCTGTGCTTTTCAGACATAAAAGGGTCTGAAGAATCCATTGTGGTGGGCCAGTGATGATCTGGGGAGGCATATCCATGGAGGGATGCACAGACCTCTCCAGGCTAGACAATGGCCCCCTGACTGCTATTAGGTATCGGGATGAAGACCTTGGACCCCATTATCAGACCCTACGCTGGTGCAGTAGGTCCTGGGTTCCTCCGGGTGCATGGCAATGCCCAGCCTCATGTGGCGAGAGTATGCAGGCAGTTCCTGGAGGATGAAGGAATTGATACCATTGAATGGTCCCCCACGTTTGTCTGACCTAAATCCATAGAACACCTCTGGGATATGTTTCTGCCCATCAGACACCGCCAGGTTTCACCTCAGATTGTCCAGAAGCTCAGTGATGCCCTGGTCCAGATCTCAAAGGAAATACCCCAGGACACCATCTGTCATCTCATTAGGAGCATGCCCCAACATTGTCAGGCATGCACTACTGAATACAATTTTGAGTTGCTGCAATGAAATTTCAGCAAAATGGACTAGCCTTGCTGATTTTCACTGATTTTCGGGGGGTGTCTTTGAATTCAGAGACCTGGGGATTGTAGAGGTGTAGTTTCTTCACACAAAGTGATCACTCTCAGACTACAGACAGAGGTCATGTATTAGCCTTTGCAGTGCCATGCCGCATGCCATTTGAACTCAAACAGAAACTTCTGACACAAGAATGTAAAGATGTTACATCATGAAACTACCGTATTTTTCGCCTTATAAGACGCACCTGACCATAAGACGCACCTAGGTTTTAGAGGCAGAAAACAGGAAAAAAAAATTCTGAACTAATGGACTGCAGACACAGTACAGGGATGACCAGAGACTGCGGACAGCGCAGGGATGACCAGAGACTGCGGACAGCACAGGGATGACCAGAAACTGCGGACAGCACAGCAGGGATGACCCGACAGCGGACAGCACAGGGATGACCAGAGACTGCGGACAGCACAGGGATGACCAGGATGCGGACAGCACAGGGATGACCAGAGACTGCGGACAGCACAGGGATGACCAGAGACTGCGGACAGCACAGGGATGACCAGAGACTGCGGACAGCACAGGGATGACCAGAGACTGCGGACAGCACAGGGATGACCAGAGACTGCGGACAGCACAGGGATGACCAGAGACTGCAGACAGCACAGGGATGACCAGAGACTGCGGACAGCACAGGGATGACCAGAGACTGCGGACAGCACAGGGATGACCAGAGACTGCGGACAGCACAGGGATGACCAGAGACTGCGGACAGCACAGGGATGATCAGAGACTGCGGACAGTACAGATGACTGCTGACCTTTGGGGAGGTGGGGAGCGGGTACCTGAATTTGACAGGTACCCGCTCTTACTTCTTCAGAGTTTTTGTTCGATCCTACCTGTTCCTCGATCCAGCGCGCTGTCTTCCCGGCTTCTGTAATGGCGCTTGGCATGACAGCCGGGTGCCCAGTGCGCATGAGCGAGAAGCACTTGCGCTTTGTGATTGGTCCGGCGGCTTCTGGGATCTGTCATGTGTCCCAGGTACCACCTTACCATTCACAAAAAGCACCGCTTCTTGCGCATGCGCACTTGGCACCCGGCTGTCATGCCCAGTGCCCACACTACAGAAGCCGGAACACAGCGCGCCGCTGGATAGAGGAACAGGTAAGGTCCCGCTGCAGAGCTGAGCGGCCGGCCCGGTATTCTGACATGGCCGCGGTGGAAATACCGGACCGGCCGCTCTATATGCGCTCCATAAGACGCACTGACATTTCCCCCCAGTTTTGGGGAAGAAAAAGTGCGTCTTAAACAGCGAAAAATACGGTACATGATCAACGCACATCTTATGCAGTTGAAAAACACAAGGTGCAGGCAGGAAGTTTATAGTGCCTTTTCAAGAGGCTTTCCCCCAAACTGTGAATGCCTTGGTGAAGGCTATGCCTCTACTAAAGCAAGGGGTGATATATTCAGGGAGATTTGCCTGTTACATCTAGATCAGTGCAATAAGTTAGACAGGAGATCCTCCTGTTATTCTATCTGGACATTTAAATTCTCATAAGGGTATCTATGCTGACAGACTGCTTAACCAAAAGGCATTGTACTGGGTCAACCATATATTCCCCCAGATGCATTGATGACTTCCTATTATTATGGGTTCATTGGAGCTTTTTAAAAGCTAACTTGTTGTGTCTGGGTTCATTTATGGGGTGTTTGTAGCATGGTGTTGAGGTATTAGGTCTGGTAATTTGTTTAAATCCACCTCATTGCTCTTTTGGTTTCACTTTTAAAGTTGAGATAAAGCATTATAAAAGAGTGCATTGGTCAGGAAACAAACAATAGACACACTATTACACTTATACACACCTGATACCCTGCAAGACCTGAACACCCAAAAGACTAATCACACATCAAAGAGAGAGAATATTTATATATATTGAGTAATAGCAAAAGAAATAGAAAACCTACCTGGGTAGATTTGGTAGTCATAGTAGCTAGAGTGCCGAGGACACTGTGATGTGTGTTATCTAAACCTGGTACTTTTGAATTAGAAAATGTTTTTTTGAGTAGATAACCAGTGGCTGGTATCACATGGAAGTTTAGTGTATTCTGAAATATAGTGAAATGGTTAACCCCTTACTAAGAAAATTATGAAAACAAAATGAGTTCATATGTTGTTGATAGTGATGTTTTTGGAACTGGATTTCCCCTTAAATCAAGTTGAAAAGTGAAGGAAAGGCAGGATGTTTAAAGAGTAAAAAAGGAATGTAGATGGAAATAGAAATGTGGTCCATATCCCAGAGTGAGCACAAGGTATCTGGGTTCCTCTTGTTTGAAAGGGTATAAAGTCCCAGAAACACATGAAAGTGGAAGACCCTTGCCGCAATGAGGTGAATCTAGTGAATCTAGATTTTTGGTTGGCATTGTTTTTTAAAGGTCAAGACCATCAAGCCTATTTTGGTGGCTAAATGGTGAGCAAGAACCCCAAGCTATGAGCTGATGGGTTCTGTCAGCAAGAAAGAAGTTCTGGAGTCCTTCCAGACAATCAGTGCAGGAAAGTACCTGCACCTGATTCAGCCTTTCTAATGGTGCATTTTGGTACCTTGTAAAGGAAGTCCAGCTCATGTGTGACAGCTAAGGTGAAGGTACGGTGATACATAAGGAGGAGGAAAAGTGGAATTTTGCTAATGGAGAGCCAGTTTAAACTGAATACTGAACACTAAAGAGTCACAAAGATTCAACTTATTTCTGTTTTGAATAGGTAGATTTTTAGATAGAAACTTAAACACACACAACTCTGGTTTTATTTGTGAAAACACTTTAATGTTTATACGTTACACACATTATTTATATAATTTTATATTTATGAGGAATGTGGATAATTGTATATATGGTTTATATGATTAGGTGGAAGTAGAATAGATAGAGCCACACTTTTAATGGCAATTAGACTAAACAGTCATTCATCTCCTTCAGAGTAGCGTGGTTGGACAGAGGTTATGGGTGCATTGTCAACTATGCTCTAGCTCTGCATCCACAGAGGCTATATATGGCTTCTATGATATGAGAAAGTGCTACATGGTTTTTGATCCCTTGGGAGGCAGGAGAACATATATTTATGGTGAGACTTGTTCTTTAAATCTCATAGCTACATGGGAAATTAATGCTATCCGAAGAATCCAACTTTCTATATCTAGGTTTGTGAAAACGGATGGGCTTTAGGCAAAATATTCTATGTCATGGAAGTAGACTCTTCTATAGTAGAAGTAAAACCTTAGTAAGAGAGGACTTACATGACAAACCATTAGCCAGTTCTTGCAACGGATTTCTGGACAAATAGATCTGGAAATTGTGACCTCCTGAAGATCCTGTGTCAAGAAGTTGAAAAATGACCTCAAGGTAAAGAAGGAAAGGCTCTCTACTAAGTAAGCTTTAAATGTTACCATTCCTCTGCCTTTACTCATGCTGCACATAAATTATTACAGTAAACAGTGTTAACATTTTAAAAGTTTTTCCTAGTGGTCACATGACTCCACAGCTCCATTGTTCTGTGTGGCTGCTGCACATGGTGGAGAAGACCATGAAAACAGACGTCACTGCTCTAGGAATTCTCTAGGAGCTCTAGGAGCTCTCATAGCAGCTGTCCAGGACTTGGAGCTGTGTGGTTATATGACTGCTAAAAACAGAAAAAATATATATTTATACTGTTATTACTAAAAACGTTTAGCGCTTGGTTGTTTGTTCATGTCAATGGAAAATACTGTGGTCAATCAATTGAATAAACGTCCAAATGTTAAATGAGGCTAAACGCGGTACCATGTTTACACGGGTTTTTGCCACGTTTGGCGTTTTTCTGCTGCCAAGAGAGCTAACATCTAGGGGAGTTCATGGGCACATGAGGCCTAAGCAGGGGGGGACTGACCATTTGGAAACTCGGGCACTGCCTGAGGGCCTGGGGTCAGTAGGGGGCCCCATGAGATGCCCCTGGTACCTTTTTCATAGGCTTTTTGAGTTTGGGCAAGGGCACAGGGGCCCCATGATCCCTTATTGCCCGGGGGACCCATGAGTTGTCAGTCTGCCTCTGGGCCTAAGGGAAGCCTTCTCTATGACCAAGTCAGTAAGAATTAGAGGAGAAGATCCTGGTTTACTGATGGGTCACTCATTCTAAAGAGAGGATTCTGGACAGGTCACTAAGAGAAAAACAGCAAAGGAAAGAAAAACAGAACCTATGTAGCAAATGACACTGCTCCAGGAAACCTGATGCAGCAACCTGCCACAAGTGCATGACTCTCTAGGATCCGCCTTCTCTCCTCCAGGCATGAAAACTTATAAGCCACACTATGCTGTTTTTTTTTTTTCGTTGCTGAATTGCAACAAGCTTTAATGACACCAAATCAGGTGAACCAGACTCTCTTCCCTGCCAGGTCTAACTGTTTGACACAATTTGTAGTCAGTAAAACCTATGTAGATGTGTTGGGATAATTGACCTTCCCTGTTCCCTGTGCATTTTTATTTAAATGTCTCTGAGTTGCAGAAACAGAATCAGAACCCCACACTGAATCGGAAAGATCTTTACATTAATGACCCCTGTAGGATTCTGCTTGCAAACTGAAAACTGTGTAGCTAATGAAATGTTTAGTAATCAACTAATAGTCTGTGAAAAGTAGTGGACATGGTTCAGGTTCATTTTTCACTGACCATTAAAAGCCAGTATTGCTCATCAATGAGTCTAAAGTGACAAGACACAAAAATTAATATAAGGTTTAAGTTTGTAGCTCCCTCCTATGTAGCCAGGGGGAGCTAGACTCCAGTGATTAGACAGGGGTGAGCAGCAGCCCAACTGTAATAGCCAGAGAGGGGTCAAATTGTGGTCAGGGCTGAGAGGCTCTGCAGGCCAGCCCCTCTGGAATTTCCCCCTGTTCTAGGGCTTTTGGAGGAAGGCCCTGGAGGCAGTGGGTGGATCTAAGAAGTGGCTGGTTGCACTTTTGAGGGATCCTAGCCAATCCCCAACAAGAGGTTGGCAAGCAGCTGGATACTGTTAAAAAGTGTTCGAGCCTGCTCAGTGGCAGGTGTGTTGGGGTAGAGTTGGGGTGGAAGATAGAGAGGAAGATGTAAGGCTAGGATACCTTCCAAATTGCTGGGTGAAGAGGAGAAGTTCATCTGGGGTCTGGGGTGCTAGCTCTCCAACAGAGACTGCTGTAGAGAAGGCTTGTAAACAGTTTCAGGAAGTTGTCCTCAGTTTATCAATACCCTTGGGCATCCTGTACACCCCTAACCCTATTCCAGTTCAAATACCTTAAAAAAACAACATAACCAAAGCTCAAGGACTGATTTAGTGAAGATGCGTGATGCCTGGCTGTGCAGGACTATAGGGGGACCCAAATATTCAAGAAACTCCTAAGGAGGTAGTGCTACAAGTTACATATACATTTCTGTAAGGCAAGGGTGTGTCATAAATGTTCAGCGTAGCCTGTCCTGTATTCATAGATAAGGTGCAACATATTAATTTGGCCAAATGCCCAGAACTGGCTGAGGCGTATTGCAGTATAAATAAGTATAACATTTTTTTTCACTGGAGGAGGATGGATATAATGTGGGACATAGAGTTAAATATAATAGCTTTGATTTCTTTTTAACCACTTGCCGTCCACCTGCTGTTTATAAATGGCAGGACGGTGGCACTCCAGGGGCGGGTTGCCGTTCATAAACGGCATCCGCCATTTCTAGCTGTGCACGCTCCCTGGGAGCGCGCAGCACCGCGATCCGGTGCCCGCTGTGTCCTCC